ACAAGTGGCAGGTGCATGTATCATGTATTTTGCAAAGCTGGTTACAAAGAGAAATTGAGTATCGGGCATGAGTCAGTTGTGTTGGCTCTCACACAGGTGTTTTGTTAGGTTAGGTGCATATTTGCTGTCCTAATTTGTGTCTGCTTTGATTCATGTATCTTGCTTTTGGTTTACGTTTGATATTTTATTACCTGCTTACAAAAAAACCCTGCAATTTGCAACGATCCTTCCTGATTTTAATATCCCGAGGGACACGAGTAACCACAATGTAACCGTATCAGGATGAGAATATGTTAAAGTTCCTTTCTGACCCGAAGCCAATAAAAACAGACCTCCAGTAGTGCAATCTGATATAGTCAACCCTGACCTACTGCATTCCACACACAGTTCTCTGATCAGAACAGGCTGAAACCATGGTGCTCAATGGAGTATTTGATACAGTGCTTTGTTGTTTGGATCTGCGTGTTGCTCTTTGCTGAGGTTAGCATTTTGTGGTCTGTGTTTGTTGTGGGGTCGCCGTACGTTCATGTGCCCCACTGTTTACCAGCAGGGGGTTACACAAAGAAAGCAGGCTGGAAAGCAAGCGAGGATGGAGAAGAATCGGGACACCACAGACGGGGCATGGAGACAAGAGTGGGGTCAGGCCTGAAGGAGACAAAGGCATTTCAGGAGAGAGACAAAGACGAAGGGGGCCACAGAGCAAGCAACTAGTGTCTGCTATGCAAAGCAAGTGAGGGGGGGTGGTTGTGGGGGGAATAGTCTCTCATCTCCTACCAATCCAGGCTAGTTCTGGCAGTGGCATATGTGATCCGTTCTTGAGAGAAGCCTTTCTCAGAACAGAACAATTATCTGACTATAAAGACTGGTTCTATATAAGCCTGAGTATTACAATCAGATACTAATTCCTTGGCTGGGAAACTCTTAGTTATAGCCAAACTAACCTGTTACAATCTTAAGAGCAGAAATATTACCGACCTATTGATGTTAACATTAAAGAATGGTTTCAGGCTATCTTCAGGCAAGAAAGGGTTAAAATTTCACAAACCAGCATTGAAAAGACAGAAAAAATATCTGCAACCTATCATTTGAAACATTATAATAATTTAATAAAGCTGCTTTATATTTCATAAAATATACAGAAATGTGGTTCTTATTTTACAATGAACCAATCACTGTGAAAATGTACATAACATATATGCATATACAGCATGTTTTTTTTAAAACCATTTCACACAATCTTTGACAGATAATTGGGTAAAACAGTCTGTGCTGTAAACACCCAGCTTTTTTTTTGGCAAATGACCGGTGTGTGGTGTTATCAGATACTTCTTAACTATGACTCTGTGAACTGAGATGAGAGATTGTTATCTTTTGCTTATGCTCCAGCTGTAGCAGCACATTTATTTGTTTCCGATGACAGATGAATGTGATTCCATCTTTAATTAGACTTTTTGCAAGAGCAATTTTGACATATAAATCTCCGACAATGCCTTCTCTTCAGAAACCATTTATTTTGCCAGTCGTAAAGAAATCAGGTTACCCACAGGGCACTCCAGGAGGTGTTAACTAATGCAGTGCCACAAAAAAAATTGGAGTGGTGGGGAGGAGGGGGTTGGAGAAATGATACAAGAATTAATCCTCTGAGCACCGGGCTTCTTTGACACTCATTGTAGAACATAAATGAGCTGTCTGTCCTACAGTTCTAACATTGAACTTTAATTTGGAAGAAAGTATCTTTTATCATACATGTGAGTTACAATATTTTCACGAACACAAGAACGTTTCTCAATTAACAATATTCTCCGGAAAAGTGAAATCACCTAACACTATTTTTTTTGGATTTTTTTTTCCCCCTTCTCTGATGCAAGATAAAGCTGCTGTAATCCTCAAAGGGTTGATCACTACGACTGCTCGTATCTTTCAGTGACTCCAACACCCTTCTCTCCCCCCACCTCATTTTCAGCTCCCATTTGCCTGCTGAAATCTTTCAATGTTAAAAAAGGAATATTCCCAAAGTGGGATGCTGTCCCTATTCCAAAGTGACACACAAATCCTTCTCAACTCAAAATACAAACTGCACCACGGTTGTGCATACAAACTTTTACTTTGAAGTAAATAAAGGCAAAAAAGGCAAGTATTAGATTTTGTAAATGAGTCAGTGTCTGCCATGGACTGCAAATGACTGCAACTACTAACTGTACAAGAAATCACAGAGACATATGAGACTGACAGACACTGGGCCAGCTGGATATTGCACTTTAAGTTCGAAAAGAAAGCTAGCTGAACCTACAAAGAATATTTATTCCTTTTGTTAAAAAAATAAATGCCAAAACAATGAATCAAGGAGTTTTGCGAGCCTATGTTAATGTTTCCTTCTTGTTCCCTTCCTTTTCCCTCAGCCCCAATAATTCGATTATCATTTTATAACTGGTCTGTTGGATGTGCCATTTCTGAAGCTACCAGGACACAGACCTGCCACACACTCCTCCTCACCCTCTCTCCCTGGCAAGTGTTGCTCTTGTGATTAGCGGTGAGACAGACTCCACTTCTCTGCATGAATGTGGAGATCCTCCACACACAACTTTGTTCTCCACATCACCTGAACAAGGAGTGATTTTTAAAAAAAAACAATCAAGTGAACAACACTGTTCCCACTGCAGTCAACTCGAAGCTGGTATGGCTCATTTCCACTAAGGCAGGAGCTAAGTTTTCCACAACACTTTCATTCAAATTGCTCAAGTTAACAGGAGCCCCAATAGCCTGACTTGGAACTCATTTACTGGGGAGTACACTGAGGTGTTGGCCTCTGCTATGACCATCCTAGACACAGCCAGGTGATAGCCCATATCTTGTTACTGAGCTCGTCTTTCCTGTGCCTTTTTGTTTCGCTTTAAAACTTTTCATTTTGAGTTTTTGAACTCTGGTACATGTAAAATTCACACACCCAGGAACCGCTCTTGCAGAACAACCTTAAATTCACGAACAATATATGGCCACCGTTAAAATGCACCTAGATTTACAAATATTAACACTATGACAGCTAATCAGGGTTCTGTAGTGAACAGGATCAGAGGTACAAACCCCTCAAACTTGGTCCAGTTCTGAAGGTTAAACCATGATCGAGGTTTGTAATGAGACTTGATACAATAGGCACACATTGGGGTAAGGTAGGGGGGGGAGGAATTTCCACATACTATATTTACAACTTTCCGTCTAAACCTCTTTATTCCTTCTCTCCTCTCCTGCCCCGCCCCCCCGACATGACTACTTATATTAATAGATGATCAACTAACTATTATCAAAATGTAAAATGTACGATGTGAAGGCACAACTTTCCCGTAGCTGCTGCGATCAAAACTCCTGCCAATTCTACACATCAACGTCCCAGCCACCAAAGATCAATACAGCGAGAAGCTCCCTCTATGAAGTCTTAGGTTGTCAACACATAACAAATTCAACGCTTCTGCTGCGTGCTGGGATGTGCAATAGCTGGGGACTGGGCACATATTGAAAATACATCAATGATTGTGTTTTTTTTCTACTGAAATTATTATGGTCATTTGTTTCGTACCATGGCAGCTTAATCGATACTAACATAATACAAGCTTGTGGCTTCAGATTGGAGACCTAATTTACTGGCACTGGAAATGGCTGGTCCAGAGAGAAATTCACTTGTAACAAACTCTCACTGGATATGATGTGGGCACCTGCAAAGCCAACCACCCAGTGATTTCTGGCTGTCGAGACCGACAGCTCCAGAAACTAAAAACAAAGGCCTCAGTCACCGAATGCCTTAGCAAGAAATAACAGCATCGGGATTTCTGTTATTATGACTCAAAGAGGTTTAATTAATTTCTGAACCGTTAATTGGTTTGAGGTTTATAATTTGTTTTAAACAGTGGTTTATTTCAACTGCCGTTTCATTCGCAAATTGCTTTGTTTTTGAGTGTTCAAATGCACTAATTTTCTCTCCCTCCTGTTTTATAAAACTTTATTTAGGTTCACTAACTGTCGTGCCATAGGAATAGCACGTCTCACACTGCACCACTTGACTTCACTATTTGGTACAGCTCTACCTCTGCATTACTTAGACTACCTATTACTACAACTTACATTTTACTAATTAATATCATGATATAAAAGCTTATTTTATAACTTGAAAATACTGACACGACTCAGCATTTTAATGATATAAGTAACACATCCCATGGTTAATGGGATAAGGTGATACTTACACAAACTGTGAAGCTGACTCAATAGGACACACTCACTGGGTGTACAGTTGGCTCCACTCATTGTATAGATACATTGTTAGTTAGAGGATACCCCTCTATTTACAAGAGATATTGTTCTGTTACAGAACAGCTTGCCTCAGACCTTTTGGGTTATGTGCAAGGGGAGGTGTCTCTGACCCAGGTTCACTGTGCTTTTACGAGGTACACTTGTTGCTCTCGCCCATTTTATACAGAAAGATTATAGGGGAGAACCCACTCTATGAAGGAAACGCTACGAGTACAAAGCAAACTATCACAGCCTGGTACTGTCATGAGGCTTGGGCCCAGGGTTACGTAGATCTGGAAGGGGGAGTAAGCATTAGAGAGAAGCGTAAAATTGAGAGATTCTGAATTGGACGCTTTCAGTTCTCCAAATTCCCACTGTGACTTGGATGCTGCTTTTGATACAGCTCACACCTGAATTTTTTGAGACTTGTCTGTTGGCCTCAAAGTCCTTGAAAGGGCCAGCAAACTAGTTACTGTTCACCCATCTATCCGAAATGAGTGAATTTGAACGTGAATGTAAATAGATCGAGACCAATCCAAATCTGGAACAATTGAGCACGAGACTTTCTTTTCAAGAGCTCATCTCTTAGATTGCTACCCCACCCCCCCACCTTGATATTTCTATCACCTATGAAATAAAAAATAATCTTTGATATCGGAAAATTTTAAATGTAAGAAAAAAGCATTTAAATACAGCGAGCTGTACATCAAAAAAGAAGAGAAGCGACTACAAACTGTCACGGTGCTAATAGTCATCTGCATCGTTGGTTGTGTGTGGGATGGCCATCACAGTACAATGTCCTGTATTCGTTTGATACCCGGCGAGTCCTTTTCCCTGCAGTCGTGCAGAAGGTGGTTGATCTCTCGAGCGACCTGCTCTGAGTCGACCTCCCTGGATGCTGGCTCCGACAGACGCGAGGAGACGTGATTGACGGCTCGGTCGAGGTCTCGTGTGGCTGGACAGTGCATCATGGAGAATGTGACTGGAGGCCTGTTGGACGTGGGACTGCTCAAATGTACAGGCGTGCTGGCGGGACTCGAAATGTCAATACCGTTGCTTGTTTCCTGGCTACTGGAGACTGAACCATTCACTTTTGGGCTACACATGGGCAGGTCAAATGTCCTTTTCCCCTTTACATCTGTTTTTTCGTTCTCAGCAGTGCGTTCCCTTGGGTCTTTGCCAAAAGTTGCAAAAGTTCTCTTGGCGCTCCCATCCTCGTAGGGCTCAGAGTCCACGCTGGTGGCTTCTATAGACAGCGCAATAACATTCCTGCCACGGTCAGGGGATTTGGCACGACTTGGCAGAGGGACCCGCGGCATCCAACATCTGTCCGAGTGGCCAAGAATCCGACATTCTTCCATGCAGGTGAATCCTTCGTTCTGATCTGTGAAGGGGGTAAAGACAGTCAATGAAACAAGACGTTACTTTGAAAGGAAAGTATGGACGCTTTGTCAAGGAGCTGGGTTAGTAATGAAAGCGTTAGGTTGCGAGTGGCAATAAACCTTGCAACTCATTGCACTGCATTCTCGGTCCAGGTACATTCTTGCAGTGTTGATGAGTTGATCAATCATAGGAGCCCAGCCTAGGTTAGGCCGAGCCTGACTTTATCCATCATCCATCCACATTAGTGGCAATAAAGGGTGAGTGATTTCGATCATGAGGAAATGACCCTGGCTGAGTTCATCCCCTCCTTATCCTGGAGACTCTTGAGGCCAATTGTACAGCAGACCAATTATCTGACCAAGTGGCAAATTCAGTACAGTCCCTGGTTCAAACCTAGAACCTTCATGGTTTATATATCTCAGTAACGCACTGGGGTATACACTTACCTTCGAGAGTCTTGGAGAGCTCAGTTAGAAACGAACAAGCATTGAACCCATCAAAGCATTAACCCAGTATGCACATATTTTACGTTAAGACAACCCACTGATTTATTAATACATTTTGTCCCAATGTAAGTATGTAGATAAAGACCAGTAATACTGTTAGAGTACATTCCTGATAGTCACGATAATTCAATGATTTCAACAAGATTTATATACACACACGCATATAGGCACACAGTGGAAACATCAATAAAGAAGTGAGCGCAGAGGAATGCTTTAAAGCTCATTGATATTGTGCTGCTTGTCTTTTCCCCGTGCTCAGAATGGAATTGTTAACTACACGGGACAAAGGCTGCCCTGAAATGGGTTGTTAGTCCACTCTTGTTGTTTGTTGTATAACCAGAAAATATCATGCAGCTAGTTAGTGTCTCAGTATCCACGATGGTGCATTGCTCTTTCAAAGCGCCAGCACAGACATGATGGCCCAAATGGCCTTCTTTCTGTGCCATGAATTTCTATGGAAGACTATTGTAGCCACTTTGTTTCAGGAGTAAGGGAGATTCACAAGAGAGATGGAAAGGTCCTTCCACATTCATTGAGCCATTAATTGATTTTTCCCTGTTGTGCTCCCTGTTTACACCATGTAAAGAGAAAAAACATCTTGCCCTAAACATTAACTTTGAGTGGCTAAAAAAAAAATAATAATAATAATCCTTGCATTTGATATAGCGCTTTTCACGTCTTCTAGACGTCCCAAAGCGCTTCACAGAATATACTGTAAAGTGAATTGACTGTATATTTGTGGGCGAACGCGGCAGCCAATTGCGCACAGCAGTGTCCCACAAACAGTCATGGATTGAAAATGACCAATTTATTGGTTTTGTTTTTGGAGGGATTATTATTAGGCGTGTGGAGTAAGGAAACTTGCTCAAGGTTTCGCCTGGAATTGAACTCAGGTCTCTCACTTGCAAAGCGAGTGCTCTAACCACTGAGCTACAGCACTCCATATAAACAAATTAACAGTTTAAGTTGTAAACTTAATTGTAAACTTAAGCCCTGCCTTAAAGTGTTTCATTACATATATCATATTCTAACAGTACCGCACCACCAATGGTGGGTGCGCCTTCAGCCACTCTGCTCCCACCCCCTGGAAATCCATCCCGCAGTCCCTCCAACTCGCCCCCTCCCTTAAAATAAATAAAATAAATAAATAAAACTTAAACTTAAACTACATGAAAGTGGCTTCATGTAGTCCTAAGAAAACTGTTGCTAGATCGGAGAAGTTAATGTGGATCATATGAAGTGTGATTTCTACTACAGAGTGCAGATGCTAAACAGGTAATTCATTAAAGTGATGAAATAATGGGAAACGAGAATTCTGATTTTTTTATGAATTAATTATTTTCCTTCTATTCATGCAGCCTAGTTTATTCAATTTTGCAGATAAAATGTTGACTAAAATTGAGTAAATGATGGAACAGGCAAGACATTTTAGTTATTACAGGCATGCATTATCACAGGAAACATAAGGTTGTTGAGAAAGTGCTGAAAAGTTGCAACATAATTGAGAGGGCAAGGGTGCCAATTCATTGTAAACTGTTGTGGCATAAACAGTCGTCAGCATTGCCATTCAAACCCAGGTAGCAAGTTAGACCAAAGAATTGTTACTCTGCATTCACAAAGGGATTGAAGAAAGGAAATCTATTGAATATTTCATCATTAACGTAATTTGGTTGCCGTTAATTGATTTTTTTTAACAAAATAGAAAGCAATATTCCTTTTTGGAGTCCTCAAATGTTACATTAAAAAAAGCCATGGAATGTGCTAAAAATATCAATTAGGTGCAAATGTAGCCCTCAAAAAAGGTAAAAGTGTTTGGATTCTTTATACATTGCAGTCATTGGAGCTGGACAAGTGACAGAATGACATATAAATCTTTTGAGTAATTATAAATAAATAACAATCCTTGCATTTGATATAGCACCTTTCAGGTTGAGAGGACTTTCTGAAGTGCTACACATGACATACTGCACGTGTAGAGAATTTTTGTGGGAGAATGCAGTAATTGGCAGAAATACAAGTGGGATTGCAAACAAATAAGAGAGCAGCGAAATCTAGTCATTTTGTGTTTCCATTTTGACAACTTCAAAATATTTTGTCAACATCTCAAAACTGTCCAAAATTTGATAAATTGCCAGTAACATTTGCCTCAGGCCCGAATTGCTTGAATATTGCACATCATACAAGAGAGCTATCAGGAATTGGAAAAGGAAAATGATACAAAATTCGAGAAAAACAAAACATGAAATTAATGCAATTTTATTGACTCTGTGGTCAGCTTTAGCCAAAATTTCAAAAACTGATCTTAAGAAATGATAATAATAATAATAATCCTTGCATTTGATATAGCGCTTTTCACGTCGGGAGGACGTCCCAAAGTGCTTCACAGAACACATTGTAAAGTGAATTGACTATATTTGTGGGCGAACGCGGCAGCCAATTGCGCACAGCAATGACCCACAAACAGTCGTAGATCGAAAATGACCAATTTAATTATTGTTTTTGGTTTTTGGAGGGATTATTATGATGGGATGGAGTGGAAGAAACTTGTGTCAATGGTACGAAATGGATTTGTATTTTAATATAAACACGGTGGGTAGCAGCATTATTGTTAAATATATACAACACCATAATGAGAGATCTCTTCATTTCTCAGAGGCTAGCATTTTAGCTGGACATGCTTTCAACATCCTGTTTCTGCTTCAGCTACTCAGATTGCACGCTTGATGACCTGCTTATATCGCACTGCTACCTGATGCCACTTTCATGTTGAAACAGTGCTGAAAGTTTCGCATGATTTTAGACAGTAATTCAATCCTGAGTCCCTCCCTCAGACGCAGCTTAAGAGATGGTGTCAGTGCTTGAATAGTTGCAATATAAATTGGGTATGTAACCTCAGGCAATTTCCAAAAGAACTTTTAAACGTGAAAGAAATGTTATCAGATATTTTCAAATGTTTATTTAAAGTGGGTTGCATTCAATGTTCTTTTAGTAACATTGAAGCTCTGAGCACACGTTTGGTTTTGTGTGTGTGTGTGTTTATGCAGAACACTCCTCAGTCAAATTTCAGGCCAGGCGGCATATATTCTGTATTCCACTCCAAGTCTGCTCTGCTGGAAGCAATAATGAATCACTCCAGCAGTATCAATTCAGCGTGAATGTTTTGAGTAAGCATGCTGGGACTATTTATGTTTCGCCTTTGCGACTTCACCAATGGACAAAATACAGTTAGGTTGTGGTCAGACAGTACAATGATATCTACTTCATGTTAAATACCGAGTGAAGCAAATTTAACTGGACTAAAACCTTACTCTGGTCTTTGTGTCGATATGGGCAGGTGATACAAAAAATATTAATTCTTGGGGCGCCTTTCATGTCGAGAGGACACCTCAAAGTGCCTCACAGGATGTACTGTAAAGTGCAGTGACTGTGTACTTGCAGGCGATGTATTTAGATGCATGATGAATTCAAAGCTAATAATTTGAGGCAACTAATAAAACACCTATCCACTATTTAAACGGTTGCAGAAGAAGAAAAATAACCTGAAGCTAATCGGCAGCTTGTGCTATCTGAGCTGTGATGTTAAAATCAGTAAATAACAGATAAGTGTAGAACCATGAATTAACATTTGTTTTATGAGGCAATAATGCTTTAAGTTATGTTACTAAGGCATGGAGAAGCACCATTGAAGCTGCGCTTTAGATTAATGTGCATATGAAATACAGTAGTTGCAGCTCAATTAACAGAATAATTGATTTAATAATAATAATCACGGGAACATCCTATTACAACAAATGGAAGAGCACTTCACTCAGGCTGGATACATTTAGTTACAGACTCTACAGGAGGGAATATTAATCAAACTATTGAATCCCATTTTAATATAATAATAGTCCTTGCATTTGATATAGCGCCTTTCACGTCTGCGAGACGTCCCAAAGCGCCCCGTAGGATTACCTGTGTTCGGAGTGAAATGCGGCGACCAATTTGTGCACAGCAATGTACCACAAACAGCCGTGAAGTGAATGATCAATTTTATCTGGGCGATTTAAAAGGAAGAACAGTCCTTGCTGCCTGCTGGGTGCCTGACTTTTTGTGCACAAATAAATCATAACCAGTCGTGCGAAACCTTCAACCTCCCTGCACGACAAATTTTACTTTCACAATCTTCGTCCCTGCTGCCTTACTGTATCAGAAAGAAGTGTGATGTTTTCTCTCAAAAAGCGGAATATTGCAGACCAACTACTGGCTATTGTAACCAACACTTGACCTGCACCTTTTATGTAACGTTTGAACTGGACTTTACATAAACAACAATACCAATAGCAGCTTGCATTTATATAGCGCTCTTCACGTGGGGTAGTGTCCCGGAGTGCTTCAAAGTGGCAGAGTCTGGCACATACACTTGGCACCAGTTTCCTGGTAGTTGAAAGTGTTCATATAACGTGAGGAAGGTATGATCAATAGGAGAAGAGAAAAAATATTCTCCTTCCAACTT